ACTAAAGAAATGGGAATAAATGATGTCCCAAAAGGATGATTCTGTTCATCTGGACGTAATGTTTTCAATGGGAGAAACGTTTCGTCACTCATCCAAGTGACTTCTTTAGTCTCAGCTGACTGCAGGTTTCCACAACCTTAGTCAGTTCAGTTTTATTTATACAGCGCCAAATGACAGCAAAAGTCGCCTCAAGGTGCTTTATATGGTAAGGTAGACCCTGCAGCAAACGGTAACAAACTGTACATTTGCACAATGACTGAAACTAGCCCACTGAATGGACAATGGGCTGTGAGGTGAGGTGACCATTGATAAACAACAGCACAGCGTGTTTTGGGGTTTAAAAGCCACAGAGACACGGTGTTTAGAAAAAATGCATCTCAGCTGTTCTGATACTCCTGACACATACGGGATCACTAAGGGTTTTCGCTTAGGTATCGGTTGTCCTTCTCTCCTGGATCGGCTGGAACTTTCTTTTGGCGCCTTCCCAGCTTTGACGAATGTCCAGCCTGGATAACCACATTTACTCAGGGCCTTCTTGACGTGATGTTCTTCTGCTTCCCTGGCCGCTGTGTCTGTGGGGATGGTGTTCGCTCTGTGTTGCAGCGTGCTGATGACACACAATTTGTGATCCAGTGGATGATGAGAGTCAAACCTGACTGGATCCCTTAATACTGATCCATATGCGTAGGTTTACGGTACACATCAACTTTTAAAGGGGGCCTAAGGGCACATCTTTGCCATCTTACAATGCTGTGATTGCAACCATTCCCCAACTCTCTGTGAATGGTACTCATGGCCATTGATCAATGGTCTTTGATCAGTGGTTGTTGATCAATGGTCATGACAATTTGCATATTAATGATCAAGGGATCTGACCTCACAGCCCATTGTTTATTAAGTGGCCTGGTTTCAGTCATTGTGCAAATGTACTGTTTATAAGATTGGGGAAACCTGCAGTCAGCAGAGACTGAAGAAGTCACTTGGATGAGTGAAGAAATGTTTCTCCCACTGAAAACGCTGCATCCAGATGAACAGAATCAACTTTTGGGATTTACTTACCTGGATGAGCATGCATCAAGATGAACAAATGATGTGTTTTTACAACAGACTGCTTGTAACAAGGCACCTAAAAATTGATTCTTTGTCATCCGTTATGTGTAGACAACAGTGATTCATCCCTCGAGTTGGTTATGTTTTGTGATTCATAGCTCAGTGTTAAGCAGCTTAACAAAAAAACAAAAATCTGACATGCCACAGAAAATAATCTCCAACTAAAAACAAAGGTACTGTTAAAAAGGATCTCTGCAGTGATTGGATTTTCTTCTGATTTCATGGATTTGAAGATTGAAGGTACTTTTAACCCTTTAAAGGTTTCTCTATATATGGTGACGATGATACATTTCTGTAATAATCCAGTCGTGTGTGGCAACCATTCAGAAGCAGCGGCCACCTGGGTAAGCTGCTAGCCTTTTGTGTTCAGTGAAGTGAGGACAAAGAACCTTTTAACATCATAACTCTGATCCCTCATCACCTTACACACATGTAAAGTTACAAATACATTAGATGACGTTATAATCCTCACCTTACCTCAACTTATGCGGCTTATGAGCTGAAATAAAGCAGTGAACCTGAGATTCTTAGTTGATACCGCCAGCCTGCAGGATTGCCGATAACAAAAAACCCTGAAGACTGACTAGAAGAAGCAGCTCCATTTGAATCAGTTCAAATATGCAGCGGAGTCAGTATATTAACAATTCTTCAAACACCAACTAAAATACTGTAGAAGACCATAGAGGAAACTCTTCTGCTGCCTCAGTTGCAACACATTTCTTTCAAGAAGAAACGATAAAAACTATTGCCTTGGTCTCTGGTTGGGTCTCAAAATAATCTTTATCTGTGATGCTACACTGTACAGTGGGATTATGACCACTGCAACAGTATACAAGCAACACAGCACCATAACAGACACATCATTACAATTATGGTGACGTCTGAGATCATTTTAGAGGTGAAGTCAGGCTATGCAGCTTTTCATCTTCTTTATTTCTATTTTTAGAATGCAACCAATTAGTATTATGAAAGTCTTGAGTTGCTAAAGGCAAAAGTTTTGAAAGTTCAACAAACAAAATGCTTAAATGAGAGTTGGGATACCCATCAAATGGGTTTCACTGGGGCAATCATCATTAAAATAACAACTCTTTGGTCTGCTGTATTTCTGGCATTTCCTTTTCTTTTCATCTCTCTTACTTAACAATTTCAGTTTTTTCCTCCTCCCTCTCTTCATGCTACCATTTCCCACTGTGTCTACATACTGCATAGTATGCATCCCCAATCAAGTCACAAAGCTTTAAAAAGTGAATACATGAATGCAAACAGCAGTGCAGGTTGTGTCAAGAATACATGTAGAATTGAGGTGGGCTTAATGAGAATATTCCTGCTGAACAGTCATGCAGCATCCAAATGCTTTTCCTCAGAGCTTCAGTTTAGCTTTTTAGGGCCTGACAACAACACTGTGTTTGACTCTAACATTGAATTAAATGGGCATCATTACCGCTGAGGACAGTTGATAAAACCTAATAGCTGTTGATGTTTTGATTTTCTATCTCTGCGTGTTGTCTTCGTCATCAAAAAGGTCCCTTCCTTTCCTGTTTACACACAACTAAATACAAACATCTTCCTGTGTTTAGGCCAGAGAGCATCTGATTGGTCAGCCTGGGGCAGCCAAAGAGGGTTCATCGTCAGTGCCATCTTAATTTGTTCTGTAAGCCACAATCTCAGCACCAGCATCGGTGCCTCACTAATGCTCTTGTGGAAGAGTGGGAACAAATCTCTGCAGCTAGGTTCCTGAACCTGTATGAACAACGACTGAATGGCTATAGCCTGTTCGTCATATACTGTGAAAGTCAAAAGAGGATTGCTTCCAGATTCAAATCCTACAGCGATAACTGAGGTCGACTGCCTCAAAGATACAGATGAGATTCATGCTTAGTGATGTAAAAAGACTTTTTAGAAACAGTAGAAAGGATTGATCTCCAAGCAATGAGCTAAGCCTGAAATGGCAACTGAGGGTTTTTAAGTTTTAGAGCATCATGTTTTAAGAGCTAAAGATGAATAATGGTTTCTGCTATACAACGATAGAGAAAGAACCTTATCATGCAACGGGATTAAGATAAAAAGAACTTTTTAATGCATAGTTTTACAGCAAATGTACGCACAGAAGCAATCTAACTATGCATACAACCCAGCTATGTTGGATCATGGCAGCTAATGCAAACAAAAAAAAAACGAAAAAGTGTCAATGATGTGATCTAATAGCTAAGGATACCAGCACAAGTAAGCCTGAATCTCAGCAGGCACAGAAACAGGAAGCAGGGCCTCTGTGGATAAATGGCGACCTCCCAGAGAAACAGATGGAGGGGAGAATGAAAAGGGGAATGGAACAAAACCCCAGGCAATATGGAGTCAAAAGTAAAGACACAGAGAGACAGAGAGAAAATAGAAAAGCACTAATCAAGAGGATGAGGATGAGCTGGGGGAAAACTCACAAAAGAGACAGAAGAGCATGAGATGGATGGGAGCGGTGCTGTGCAGTTCTGCTTCTTGAGAAAACAACAAAGATATCAAATAAGGATAACAAGTTCACATTGCATCGAAGCATCATTTAAATGAACAGACTGGAGGATTCTTAAAATAACCAAGAAAGTCACCGACAGAACATCTCAGGTTTTATTCATTCAATTTCTAAATGAGCAGTAATGTAACTATTGGTCATTTGTTTTCTCTCTGAAACAGAAGGTCTGGATAGACTGCACACAACAACAACAGTCATTAGAGGCAACTCTTAGTGAGAGGAAGTGCTGATGAACTGCCATATGCATTAAGTAGGAATCCAAGTTTTCCTGGATGGCTTGGATTGGTTTGAGAGCACAGAGTAATACTTTTCCCCCTCTTTGACAGCTTTCCATTTGAAGAGAAATGGATTTTAAGTGTACTTTTCCGTAACACTGACATATGATTGAGAGTTGACCGGAGAAAATGCACACAAAAATATAGTCTGATGAAGATGCAATATGCTGAAAACTTCAGAACGACTTCTTGGCATACTTTGTGGTGAGATCAGTGTGTACTCTTAGAAGATACATATAAAGGCCTGTAAACAGACTTTATCCAGGCACAAAGTGCATTTTAGCAGCAGATGGAAATGTACAGGCTGATCCACAGAGGGACACACCACCCCACCTCAGCCTCCTGCCCCGCTGCTGCTTGCTGCATCCAATCAAGTAATGACATTCATACAATTTACTGATGTCATAAAGAAGACAAACTAGCACAAGCTGGTAATTTATCATTCACATGAGGACTACTACCCCTGTCCTGTTAACTGTCTAACCATCTCACCACTTCCTTCACACACAGCCTTATCTGTCTGCCAGCACTAGTTATGGATGAAGCCAGCATATATCTCACAATCACACCCTCAGACAGACAGTCGCACAGTTGGCCATTTATGAGAGTGTCTGGTCTGACTAATAAAAGCCCAGTGTTCACAGTGAGAGCGATGGGAAAGAGAAGGACTATTTAGGCTGATTAGATTTTGCTCAGGCTGGAAGTGTTACCACGCACTTTTCAGACTGTTTTCTGCAGGGCAATATGTTGTTTTCTTTCCACCATCTCCTTGAAACAACAAGATGAAACGAGCCTTGAAAAGCACGCTTGCATTAAAGAATGTTTCTGAAGTTGCATGCTATTAATACTTTAAAGGCAAACAAACCTCTTACTTTTTAATCTACCCCTGGACTAAGATCATCTCATGATGGACAACACCAGCATAAAGTCTGTAGCATGCAAGCATTCACAAAACACCTGCACATGGGCACTTACAGTTACACCTTGTATGATGAATTTTACACAAAGCAAAAGTACAAAACATGAAGATGAATTCAATGATAAAATAGGTAACATGGACACATTCTCACACACACTCTCCTGTGTTTCCTCACCTTTGCGCCGATGACAGAATTCTTGTGGTAGAAGCAACACAGAGCTGCTGTCAGGGCTTTGAGGTTGCATCTCTCCGACATTATCGACTCTATCTGCCGACACTAACGGGGTAACAAATGCTGCCTTCGGCCAGCTCAGTTAGATCTGCGGTCAAGGTGACTGAAGAACAACTTGAACGACAAGTTCCCAATGATTCCCATTTGCCTCTTCCAGTAAAACCTTCATTAAGAGTTACACAGATGGTCGAGTACTAACTCTGCAGCTGGATCAATATCACAAGTCAGAATTTTTCCAGTCTCTCAGACTAAGGAGTGAACATCTCCCCTGGGATAACTGTTACTAACATTCTGTCGTCTCTGCCTCTCTCCTCCACAGTCCCCGCAGAGTGAGCCCTCCACTTTCTCACACATTTTTTCTTTAAATTTCCCTTTTGCCCTGCCCCCCCTAAGCTCCATATATGGGAGAGAGAAAGACCCATGTGAGGTGGTTTGCACCAATCAAGTGTTGATAAACTGGGAGTGACCCAAAGGCAGAGTCTCCCGCCTGCTCTCACTGCAAACACATGGGCAATGGAAAGAAAGCTGTGTACATCGGCTTTGCATCCTCTGCATGCATTCAGTATGACACTTCAAACCTAAACTGTTGCTATTGTTTCCCTCTGACTCAAAATCATTTTTTCAGAATTTGCACTGATTGTGCTGATTGGTTTGTTACTCAATTTAGTCTCTAAAGTGACAGTTTGACCAAAATACTGGCCAAATAATTATGTATGCCTTTTCTTTCCGAGTACTCACAGCTGTGGAGTTTCTGCATTACTACTTTAGGTTTATCTGCCTATCAAAAACAATGTCCAGCCCTTGTGTGACTGTCTTTCAGTCTCATATAGACGATGTTAACGTTTCCATAAGAGATGCTCTTTTTTGGTGTAAAGCCATGGTTGGAATTGCGGCTCTTCCAACTGCTCAAACCAGCAGTTTGAGAACAGAAAACACATCACAGAAAAAAAAAAAAAAAACTAAAAGTATATCACTTCCACAGTTGGCAGTAAGTATTTTAAGAAAACGGCTATGAGTCACAAAGAAAGTTTCAATAGGAAATAGCTGCTGTTCAACCAGTGTTGTGTACTAAATAATCCACTTGGAGACAAAGGGAAGGGTCTGCTAAGAGTGAGTGCGCATGTGTGCTGTGGACTGATGCTGGCCACTTGTGTTACTTAATGCTTGTTGAGCAATTACGCCCACACACTGGTGAAACTCTTAGCTTTCACACCAGTTCACACACAGACCCATACTGACATCCGACATAAGGAAACTGGCCCCAAAGCAGGAAAGTGAAAAAAGTATATTGGCATGTAAAGCCCAGTAAAACTTATCAACTTCTTCAGGGAAGAAAGTGAGGAAAACGGTTGGACAAACGTAACTAGATCCAGAGAGAAAATATGGCAGTGTACAAAGACAGAAAATAAAGAAATAACCATGAGTATACAGCACAAACACTACCATCTACAATGTAGCTTGCCATCACCATTGTGTGAATGTGTGTGCGAATGGGTGGATGACTGGTTGTGTAAAGCGCTTTGGGGTCCTTAGGGACTAGAAAAGCGCTATACAAATACAGGCCATTTACCATAAGAACAGCCACATGCACACAAAGACTAGACACACACTGAGGGTGACACGCCAGCAGCAACAAGTTGAAGGGAATATTCGGTCGCAGGAAACTGAGCCACTAATTACAGTGTGAACTCTCATGAGGACCCATGAAGGAAATACATGTAGAACATTCCCTAAGGCACCACATAGAGGCACACACACACACACACACACACACACGACTGGCGACCACAGCAGCCCCAAATCACCAGCTAGGCTAAACGTCCACCTTAAAATACACACATCCGTCGCTCCAGGAATGCTTTGGAAAAACAGTGAAGGACAGAAATTGGGGCGCTGAGGTTCTATGTTTTCTATTTCTATCTGTTTGTTGGTTCTGTCAAATACGAGAGACTGTGCTGTTTCAGCAACCTAAGCTAATTACATGAAATATAATAAAATGGAAAATTGGGGATGAAAGAGGGCTATTTTCTATGTAAAAATTGGCTTAAATATGTAGTTTTATTTCAGGATGTATATTTTACTGTCCGGGGGGACTGAGAGAAACTATATGCAGTCAATGATGTTGAAAGTAAAGGATCTTTTCTCTTTTCATGATGTGTTAACAGAATATTCCACTCAGCCTAGGATTTATTTTAACTTCTTTTGCCTAAGCCTAAATTGAAGTACCTAAAGACATACAAGGCCCCTAAATTTCCCATAATGCAGCTTAACTGGCCAAAGTACAATAGGACAATGGGATGCTAATGTAAGCCTGAACTGCCACCAATATACAAAACTGATCAGAACAGTAGCAAAATATAAAGATGAGAAGTGCTTTCTACAAGAACGAACAAATACAAGTGATTCATCTTTCAGTTTGCATTTGTTCTATAAACACATCTCATACAATCTGCATCAAATTGCATTAGGTAGTAAACTTAATAAAGAATTCATGTCCAAATGTACTACACATCCATTTACAAGGTCACGATTCCCAACAGTCTCAATGATAAATACAGTAAAGGAGACATGCAGTAGGTACAGGTTTTACATTTCCTGACAGTGGCTGCAAGCTTGGTTGGCAGAAATTGGATTCTACGGTGCAGTATGATATCACACCACAATCGAAGCTTCACTGTCCTTCTGTACCAGTTAGGCAGCATTCATCACGCTTCCTCATCCCCTAATGCATCAATAAAATCAGTGACACTTCTATTCACCCTCTGGGTGAGTCTGTCACATGCACACATGTGCAGACTGTGTGTGTATATGAGGTGGGGGTGACTGAGTGATCAATAATATAATAGACTGGTGTCGAGCCGTACTGATTGGTTCAACGTGATCCTTGTGTAGTCAGTGAAAGCGCATGCAGTAAGAGGCTACAATACATCTTATGTGGGTCAAAAGAGAAACTAATTTGTTGGTGTATTTGCTTTTGTAAAGTACACTGGAGCACCAAAGTTCCATAAACTACAATTAAAAATACAAACTACTGATACTTATTTACTTTATTGTATACTTGAAAAACAAGAATACAAACATAACAATTTTACAAAGAGAAGATCAGCTTCGCAGTTAATGCAAGAAGCATCTGATATTTGGTTTGAACACTTGAAATTTTTTCATCTTTTATTTACAGTGCAGACAATTTAATATAACATGAAAGACAAGTATCAGAAAGGTTGAGGGTATTTTAACATTAATACATCCATACATATGAGCAACGTGACTTCCATTTTCATGACACGAAGACTGGTTCTAGACTATTTTCTTCAGTACGATTCTTCGGTGACTTTCTCTTTAGCCCAGATTTAGATTAAATCCATGTCTGAGAAACTGGCTCATATGGTTTGACCCAAATCTAAAAACAGACAATTACTCAGCTTGAGCTACAACTGTTTAAAAACGGGCGATAGCTTCAATAAAGGAGAAAAAAATATCCGTGTCTAGATTATTACCCAAAAGTTTTAATGTTTTTTAGGTAAATTTGAATATAAGATGACAAAGACAAACCTTGATGTTACTTGCTTTTTCCCTTGAGCATAGAGCGTATGATCACGATTTCTGTAACCTGACCACACTTGCTCAAAATCATCACTGAGAAAATCTGGAGACTGAACAGCCACTGATGAATTAACAGGAAAATTATTACTGATGATATTCTGTAGCAAGCTGGTGGGGGTTACTGGCCAGCTGCCTGTTCCACTTATAGGCTGACAAACTGAATAACTGACTGGGTGTCCAGTTCATGGACGAGCAGAGAGACAAACCAAGCTGGTTGGTGGGGTGCCGAGCGTGGCTGGCTGCTTGCTGTTGAAGTCATGCTGGCTCACTGACAGACTGGTATGAAAGTCACACTATTGTTTGGACTTCTAATTAACAAACATTCACAACAACATCCATCTACAGCGACATTTCTACTTTCGGGTCTGACAGTCCCTTTCCTCAGTTTGGCCAGCAGATGGTGCACTCCTCTAAAACTCAACAAATGCATGAATAGCTGTTTGTAAGTGAATTCAAACAGTTACTGCTCTTTTATCTTTATTATTAGCAAAGCACAGTTTTAAACTGGTGCCTTCAGTATGTGTGTGTGCTCTATACAAGTGTCATCCACACAGAGTTAATAGCTACTGCAACCCAAGACCACACACACACACGCACGCACACACACACACAGAGCATTATTGTTTCCTAAAGCTCTCTCATGAGGGTTTACAGCAACTTTCAACTCATTGTGTGGGAATAAAAGAGTGCAAAAGAGTCTTTTAGCAAAGGCTTAGTAGAAGAAGAGTTGTGTTCACACTGAACCACTGAGGGTCTTTCTTTTCCTCTCTATCATTTAATTTGTCATCAAATAATACAGAGATCGTGCTGTATTATACTGCTACCTATTGTACTATTAAGTCTGGCCAAGTCATAGTAAAATCAACAATCTGCTCCTATTACTTTCTACTCAGTAAAGTTATACAGTACTTATCTTGATACCTACTTTATAATCCTCATTAAATTTTACTTTCTGTGAGAAAGAGACACTTCAATTTGACTTCATTCCTTCACCAGTGCTTTTGCCTCTTTGTCAGCACGATTACTAAACAACACCTTGTTGGTTTTCTTTTAATCTGGTCAATAGGTGGAGCATGATTAAAGGAAGAACCTAGTACATTTAGCAAAATCAGGTTCCATTGTCTTTAAATTTGGAAGACAGGGTACTAGACTTCTTCTTCATGTTATGTCTATTTCTAGAGAAGGAAACAAGCTGATTGGATGCTTAGTGACGAACATCAAACAGAGGCTGTCAACGAGAAGAGAAACTGGCCATAAGGTGGTGAAGTTGAGAATATATTAAAACTGTTGTTTTCCACAGAGACTTCCTTCCCAACAAACACCCATTCTGCTCACATCTACTTGACATAATCACAGAGAACAATGCAACACTCACTGTACTGACAACTGTTTGTAAAAAAAAACAGTTTCCAAAGCATATGCCACACAACACCTGTACTGTACCTGTACGGTCTATGTGTGTGTTTTCATCCACAGTGGAAATGCAAACACACCTGGAGCAGCACAGAAGCAGAGCTGACAGCTAGGCTTTCACACATATTATATAATACCTGGAATACAGTAGGCCACATATGCGGTCAGCACGCAGACACACACAAAATAGGCTACGCACTCTGTTGATACACCATGTGTGTGACCAAAGAAATGCACACAAAGTACTATTTGTGCATGTGGGCTCACAGGTTTGAGAGTGTTTATGGGCTCAAAATGTGGTCATAAATATTTTGTACTTGTAAATCAGGATTTGTTTGTGTAAAAAGATTTGTGTGTGGACTTAGCCAAAAAAAACCCCTGCAAGTTACAAGTACGAATTCTGACCCTATTTTTCTTCCTTTCATCTGATTGGTCAATGTCATGTCAATCACAAATGTAACAATCCAATCAGAGAACAGATGGGTTTGGCTGTCGGAGGGGCGCTTTTTTGAACTGCAGGTCTTTGAAGGGAATAAATGCCCTTTTACATGCCAACCCAGCGTTTTCCTTCATCACCACGAAGGAAAACAGTCTGTGGTCGTCCGAGTTTGGTGATTTTTGTGTCACAGGTTACGTGCTTAATACAGGGACCTCCAGCAGCATTTTCAACAGCGCTGTCGGACCTCGGAGGGGGGCAGTGTTGTGGAAATGACAGTCTTCACTAGTGGGGATAGTTACAAAGCTTTCTTCGTTATGAATTAGCGATACATGTTTTTATTGAACATTTGAAGATAAAAAAACAGAAACTCTTGTAGAGGACATAAAGTCAGAGATAGAAACGACAAGGAGCAGGTGCATCTAGTACAGGTAGAGCTGCTGCAAAACCCCACAGAGCTCAGCAGCCAGCGCAACAAATTCTGGATCCTTGGCCTTTAGCTAGCAGTTAGCATTAGCGGCATATGCTGCCTCCATGCAGTGTTGCCAACTCCTCAGTAAGGAAAATCGCTATTGGTTGTCCTAAAAGTCGCTAGAAGTCGCTAAATGATGTCATCGCCTAATTTGCATAATTGGTCATGCTAATGTAATTGTAACCTACGTTGTTGGAGAGAGAAATAACATCGTGGAAGAGACATAAAGTGAGTAAAAAATGTCCTAAATGCATTTAGAATTTATTTAGAACTACAAATTAAATTCTTTTAGCAATTTTTTTTTTAATGTCACAATTCCAACCCTGCACCTTTATCCGGGCTTGGACCGGCAAAATGTGAGAAGCTTAGTGGTACTGGTGGACTAACTGTTACAGAAACATCCAAAATGAGGCACCAATACTGTTTATTTAGTGCAGCTGTGACAAAAACCTTATATTGGCTGCTGGTCTAATTCTTATTATTTTGGATGTGTAAAGCCTGCTCACTGACATCTGTCTGTTCTTTCTAGATCCCATTAGATGAACGTGCTGAACCGAGGTGCAGTCATCTCAGCGTGCCTCTGTTCAGATTTGGAGACATTGAACGATGCCTCAGAAACTATTTAGACGATTTATCGCTCAGGTAAGTCACAAGCTCAAAGTCAGCGAGACAGTTATCAGCATATACAGACATATTCACTGGTTACAGGTTTGTTTCGCTCAACCATTCTCAATGTTTTTCTTTCAGACAGTGGACGGCATTAGCCACTGATGACATCTCCTCGGATGTCGTCGATCTGCTGACCGAGATGTGCCGAGCACTCATAGGGCACATTAGCACCGTAGTGTATAAAGTCATACGCCGACAGGTTTCATGCTGCCCACATAATCATGATCATGGAGACAAAGAAAGCTCCGCTGACCGGTAAATCTAAAGCTTGCTTTATTAAACAGTTTCATTCAGTCTTTCTTCTTCTTAGACGTTTTACATGAGATGGTTCATCGGGTAATCCTGGTGACGGAGGGGTTTTTCAGAGGACACAGCATTGCTTCGTTTACATCACGTGTGAAGTCATCCATGTGGTTTATTTTAATGACGCCTGTAGATTTGGACAAAACAGTGATAGTGTTGGAAAATGACTGACTACGTTTCTCTTCTCTCCCTTTTCAGGATGAACGCTGAACCTCTGCTTGATGGGTGCAGTTACTGCAGGGTGACAGAGGATGATATTCAGGCCAGCCTCAGAAACATCTTTCATTACTGCTTCGGTTGGGTTTTGGGCAACGGCGGTCTACTGACAAACTACTGACTTTATTTTCAGTGTCGATTGCAAAGAACGTAAACTCAGCCCTGAGTCGTATCACAGGGTCCACATCCTTGCAATCAGATAGATCCACATCCCCAACAAACTTTGTTGGGATGGTTTACAGTGTAGTGAACATTTTAAAGGACTGTGCAAAGACCTTAGCTCCCCCTTTTGTAGATGGTGAGAGTCGCAGCTACAGCATTGTTGAATCGCCAAACTGAGGAAGATGACGACTTTAAACCAGAGTCTGTAGAGACTTGTAAAAGCACACAGACTCAAGCTTGTGTAGGTGAGGGAGATTTGGGTAGCGAGGTCAACAGTGATATATTTCAAATCACCGATGTCCAAAATCTTGACTGTGAGAGTTCAGAGAGTGAAGAAAAATGTAGCGACGCCCCGCAGTGTTCATCTGGGACGCTTCCTACGCCTGCAGAGACCGATACCTTTCTCACTTTGTGTCTTGCAAATTTAGTCGCTCACGTTTCTGAGAAAACACAAACAACTGCTGTAAAGCTGAATTTTCAGCAGATAGTGACTGATATAAGAGAGAAGATTGGGGGAGACTTGACTCCTTTAAAAACTGTAAAAATCTTGTACATCATAATGTACAAAGACCTGTGTCGCAAATTTGGATCCAAATACGTGCTTCAGTTTGTGATGGAAAAGGGTCACGCGACTTTTGTAGCAGCCGTTGTGGAGCTATTAAAAGCGGAGCTAAAAGCATCGAGTGGCTCCAGTCACGCGCTGAGACGTTTAGAAAGTGACAAAAGCGTTTCTCCAGCCAGTGAGAACAAAACGCAACAATCTGCTAGTGAGGACAAGGTACAAAATGGATCCACAGGTTCCCAGAAAGACAGGCCGAGAAACTGTATCGTTAGGGCCCTCGCTTCTTTTTGTAGATCTTTGAGGAGGCTGTTCAGTTGCTGCATGAGCAGCGAGTCAGAAACAGAGTGACAGAGTGAGCAGCAGCGGCTCTGTGGGGCCTCTCACAGTGCAGACATGCACTTTGATCAGACACTCTAAATCACTCACATAATTTGCTTCTTAATTTGGAAATAAAATGAGCAGAAAATGAAACAAATGTGTTTGTCAGAACATTTAATTGTTAAATGTGTATAATGGTTTGTAGTCTCATCAATCACAATGTAGAGACAATCGCACAAACTCGATTTAGTCAGAGCACTTTTGAGTTAGTTTTGTCATTGTAGGTTAAATGTAGATATTTATTCTAGATATTTGGCACAAAGGCATCCTCAGCTCTGTAACAGAGAGGTGTTGGCTCAGTGTGAAAATGTCCTGATGATATCAGTACTTTTGATTTTAGCCTGACTGATCAAGTTCCAGTTAAAGGGTTTTGACTGTCTTGAGAGACGGCACATTGTAGACAGAGAGCCATATTCCTAACTGTAAAACTCAAAAAACAGTCTTAGGCTACGTTCACTCTACAGGTCTTGATGCTCAATTCCGATTTTTTGATCAAATCTGATTTTTTTTGTCTGCTTGTTCACACTACAATTAAAATGCGACAGCAAACGCGCTCTAGTGTGAACGCTCAGAGCGGCCGCATGCGCAAAAGAAGACGTCACACACAACGCGCTCTGTTTAGACCCAGAGCAAGCAATATTGTGTGACTGATGGCCCTTAATGTAAAGACTTCAGACTTTACGTTTCCCAGTTTTGCTTTAAGTTATAAAGTTTTGTTATTTACATTTGGCCTAATAATGATCCTTACTGCTTTTTTAGAGGAGCGCTGCTTCTAGCTGCAGATTTCTGTCAGAATCTGCAGATTATACAGTACAAATAAAATGTTCACGTTTCTCCAACGTTGTCTTCCCAGCAGTTTCACTGGATAGAAGCGTTCACCATGTCGGGCGCTGATAGTTGGCGTCTGTCTTGTGTCAGTGACGTAAAAGACTGATTTAATGTGACATGACCATCAAACAGCAGTCGCTTTCTAAAACATCAGATATGTATCGGATTCAGCACCACATACGAAAGTGACCCAGATCGGATTTGAAAATATCGGATTTGTGTCGTTCACACTGTCACACCATGATCGGATAGATGAGTCGCAGAGGGTCAAAGAAGTCGGATTTGATGCGCTTTCCCCTGCATCCGATGTGAAAGGACCTTTATGCTGCGCACTGTGACTCACAGCCATGGTCCCGGGTCAGCCCTGACTTTGTGTTAAACTAATCCTAAAATAATAATGGTATTTCTAACCACTGATATACCACAACTGCTGAAAGTTAGGGCACCTAACTGCTATCGGATATTTATATAGAGATCCTCCAGCTTCAAACTGTATTACCCTTCAAGGACCTGCAGTCCAAAAAAGCGCCCCTCCGACAGCCAAACTCATCTGTTCTCTGATTGGATAGTTACATTTGTGATTGACATGACATTGGCCAATCAGATGAAAGGAAGAAAAATAGGGTCAAAATTTGTACTTGTAACTTGCAGGTTTTTTTTGGCTAAGTCCACACACAAATCTTTTTTACACACACACAAATTCTTTTTACACATACAAATCCTGATTTACAAGTACAAAATATTTATGATCACATTTTGAGGCCATAAGTGTTCTGTGAGGTTAGCTCCCACATGTGTGACCCGCTCCCATGGGAAGGACAGAGTTTGCTTTTTACAATGGGGTGTTAGCATCCAAACATATGAGCCAACAGATGGAGGAGTAGTTGGAATGTGGTCGTACGCAGAGAAAAAGAACTGATTTGAAAGAAAATGTTGGGAAAAAGAAAAGTGGAGAAACCACTGCGGGTTTGTATGTAATGACAGGCTTTATTTACAGTAAAATCTAGTAGTTTGCAGTAAATGTTATGACATCTGCAAAGATCTCAAAGAAACTAATGATGTCGCTGTTCACAGGACAAAATTAGATCACATAGGTCAGTGTCATGAGGGCCAAAGCGTCGGTGTGGACACCACATAATGCAAACTTCATGCATGACTCCAGCTCAGGACATATTTGCATGCCACCCTCCTCTCTCTGATTTCCACTGTTTCTTGCCTACGTCTACAATCTATGACAGAGATGCAGGGATTGAGTAATTTTTTAAAAAATTTTTATTGTGAGGTATAAAAACAGTTTTTTTCCCCATTCAAGGAAAGAAAG